GGACAACGGAGCTGCTTCATGGAAGAAGAACCTCAGCTTAGCCTGTTAGCTTTAGCGTTAGCCACAATGCTATCACCATATATATGTATTAGCTCAGCGCTACACATTTTCCTCTTGTCACTGAGGTCCTCCATCCACATGACAGAGAGGGGAACACAAAAATGATTCCCCTCACTGTCAACGCTCTCTGGTTTCATTTAAAAGAGTCGATCATCAGATATTGTCCAAGATTAACCTTCAGGGTGGATATAGCTCGCTGACACCGAGGACCTATCCACGTCATTATTTATCCAGAATGCTTTGCATGTAAATAAAATGGCCCCGTCCGTGTTAAAATATATATTTTTAAATTTACAAAACTAAATAGCCTGCAGTATTTTTACAGTGTTTATTTTACATTTAAAATAAATGTTTGTCAAATAAAGTCTAATGTTACAACTAATTGTGGATCCCTTTATGTCAGGGTGAGGCTAAAGAAATTAAAGGAAAATCAATACACTGTCCTCAAAATAAGCATAAGCATAATTTTTATTTTTAACATGATAGCAGTATAAAGTAACAGCCATATTTGAGCATTTCTAAGTAAGGAATGCAAGATACACATATTTTATAGCAAAAGTAGTCTTAACATGTTCAAAAAGGAGTAGGAAGAAGTAAAAAATCTTATGAACCTCTTACTATGTTTTCAAATACATGTTAAAGTAAACAAACACATAAATCTGAGGAACCTGAACAAACATCAAATTTAAAGCTAATAGTTTTCTATTTTAGAGTTGTCAGTTTTTTTCATGAGCTCACCACACACACATATACACACCTATGTAACCTCTATTTTGGTTCTCTATTTTTAATAGAAGTATCTGATATTTTTTGTACTTGAGTATCAAAAATATATTTCTGACAAAATGTACTTAAGTATTAAAAGTCCGTAAAAATGAAAATTTTAGACATTTATTGGGAGGTAACCTTGCAAAAAACATTTTTCTAATATAGGCTATAAATGCCAGATACATCTTTATACTACTAGTAGAGTGTGGCCTGATTTTTGTCATTTGCAGCTGGGATAGATTAACACATGTCAGAATTATATATATTTATTTTATACTTATTCAACCATAATTAAGTTCACTATCCAGGAGGTACAATTTATCAGGATAGTATTTTTAACAATAAAAACCTGAAATGAAAACTAGCAAAAATGAAATAAATGTAATGACTTTCTTCCTCTTGCTTTTTTTAAAAAAATGTAAGGAGTAGAAGTCCAAAGTAAGCTGAAAAATATTTACTCAAGTGAAGTACAGTAACAAAGTATTTGTACTTAACAACTGTGAGATCCGGTGATATGGTAGAGGTGACAGACATGTAAAACTCAAGGAATGCTTTACTTTTCATTTCTTCATAAATCATTCTGAGCAGGACTCAGATTAATGCTAATAGGCTCAGTTTTTTTTCCTTTCCAAGGCTGCTGTTGTTAGCTGCAGGATTAAGACTAATAATGGTGGTAAATCTTTTCATTGTTCGTGTTCGTTGTTATTCTACCCTGACTCAACACTAAGAAGAATGTGTGTTAAATTTCATCTCTAGTCGTAATGTTCATGTTTGTGATTTTTTTCCAGTGAGAGAGCTGCTCAGCAGCGGTGTCAGCCCCGATCTGGTCAACGAAGATGGRTTGACGGCTCTGCATCAGGTACTGYGGTACCTGTTTGGCTCTTTTTTAGACTTTAGACTCTTTGGTAAAACTGTTTAATAAAATGGTCTCACAGCTCTGTGACTAGGGCTGTGTATTGGCAAGAATTTGGCGATACGATACATATCATGACAGAGGGGTCACGACACGATATATCCCAATATATTTCAATACTGTAAACCGATTTTTTGGGTCCAAAAATTCTATTAAATAAAAACCTCTTACAGGGAAAAACACATAAAACAAAACGAAAAACCAAAATTCATTGTCTCAGAAAATTCTAATATTACATAGACATACTTTTGATACATTTAGCTG